ACGTATTTTCCAAGGGGTTCTACTTCTTTGTGTTGATAAAGGACAAAACTTTGGCTTCATGAAAGGTAACACGGTTTTCAGATCCCCTTTCAAAATTCCATTTTATTTAGTTCCGCCCATTGTTTTCTCGTTTAGGGCAAAAGCATTCTTTTACTTGGGGACCATACGCCGCTTTTCATGGAATGGCACTACTGTGTCACATTGAAGGTTCCATAATAACCGCTGTATGAACACATCTGCGGATGTTTCTAAATTCAAGATTTCACCATTTTCGTGTTAAATGTGAATTCTGCTTAAGCCAGTGCTAGAGGGCGTGGACTTTCCAGTACCGTCCATAAACAGGCTCAATCAAACCGAGGCTGCAAGATTTTCAATTTTGTTGTGTTGGACTTTCTTTAGGGATTCTTTTTTCTCTTTGCCAACATACAGCCAGATAATATATTTATCAATGTGATAGAATAATGGAGACCAATATTTAGCATACACTATTTTATACAAGCACAAATGTTGCTGCAATGCAGCAATTGAGAAGCTCCGCGCAAAAAAATGTGCTCATTACAGATACCTTACCAAATCATTCCTACGCACAGGTCATGTTATATTCAGATTAAGTACTATTGTAGATTTTTTCCGAATGTTTTGTGAACCATTTTTTGCATAATTATACTTAGCTTATGGACTGTCCATAACTGTCCATCGTTAAAAAGAGGGGAAAATATTCAATATAAAAAATGCTTTCACTGATGCCTACCTGTAAAGGAAAGTAATTCCATTGAATACAAACAAGACTTACAAGACTTGTAAATGTTGTGTGACATGACTGTACTGTGTTCTGTTTCAGTAACAGAAGATAGATGCTAGAAATATCAAAGTCTGTTATAATTGTAACAAATATACAAATAGTAACAAAACGGACTAATATTATAAGATAGTAATATTATATTTATATTTTTCATGTCAAATTAAAAAAAATGGTTTCTTTCAATACTGAAAGTAGAATACACTCTGGAATGAAAAAATGGGATGAATTTCCAAAAGACCAAATTCAGGATTTTTTTTGTTTGTTATACACGCGTTACATAGAGATACAGTATTTATCAATATAATAAAATACTGTTACCTGAATTTAAGGTAGGTATGAGGAAATTCACTTATATCATATTCGTACGAGACAAAGATATGAAAGCTATTTGACATTGGTAATGTATATAAAAAAAAATATTGTTAATTAATTTTTAGGGAGGTCAATATATATTTTTTGTTGAATTGCTTTAAAACCATTCATAAAAAACATTACACTTCATGTTCAAACTGCAGATCAATGTTTCTGTTGTTGTCATGATATCTATCTTTAGCCTATGCTTAAGGTGATTCCGCTTTGTAAGCCATGTTTGTTTTAACAAAAGTCTGTCCAAAGTGAAAGTAGGCCAAAATTCATATAGCAACAAAGCTCTTATTGTAAAATGATGAACCATTTGAAAATACACTTCCAGGTTTATAATTTAAGGACAATTATAAACAAAAATAAAAATGATAACAATAAGAACATTTACCCTGAATTTCTGAAGACAAAAACATTCTGTTGCAAAGTTTTATGCACATTCCATGTGTAATAGATATACCATTGCTGTGTTGACGATTTCTGGGTTTGCGTAAATTATACCATAATCACGTGACCTTTCTTATGCCTTAACTTCACGAGACGAAGTCGAGTGAGGTTGCATAAGAAAGGTCACGTGATTATGGTATAATTTACGCAAACCCAGAAATCGTCAACGCACCAATGGTGTATCTGTTTTAACCAATAGCTCCGCCCACAAACACTTACTCTTTCGATCTTCAAAACTGAAAATTATACCATAGTCTGGGTATGGTATAATTTACGGTTATTGGAAATTATACTTGGAAGAATTTTACATAAGAAGCGCTGAAGAGCTATAGGTTAAATTGCAAAATCCTTTTTAAAGTCTGTTTTAGTGCCAACAAAAGCTTTTTTTGCAGCAAATACAAAATTTTTTCAAACTTTAACTCCAAATAAATCAGTATCTCATGTCCTTCTTAGCACATGGCCTCCATTATTTTTTTGTAAAAAAGTAGTGCAAGAAAACAATCATCATTTATAGCCTTATGAACTACAATTAAAATGAAAACACAATCAAACTTTAAAATCTAACCCTTTTTAACAGTGAAATGTGCCTGTTTGTCATGTACACAAGAAATAGGTAAATGATGTTTATTTTCATGGTACTACTTTTTTACACATGCCATGGAGGCCACGTTTTTTCAAGGTCATATAAACTACTTTCCTAAGATTTATGTTTTTAAAAGTTTTTGTTTGTATTTTCTGCAAAAAGTACCATTTGTTTGCACTAAAATAGACTTTAAACTGGATTTTGCCATTCATGAAATGTGCATAAAGATTTGCAACAGAATGTTTTTGGTCTTCAGAAATGTAGCCTATTCAATGTAAATTTCTTATTGTTATCATTTTTCCTTTTGTTTAAAATAGTCTTTAAAACATAGAATTGGAAGTGTACTTGCAAATAGCTAATCATATAACAATGTGAGCTTTGTTGATATATGAATTTAGGGGCGTCCGTGGCCGAGTGGTTAAGGTCGTTGACTGTTAAACCACTTGCCCCTCACCGCTGTGGGTTCGAATCCCGACAGGGACTTAGGATTCTTTCATGTGAGGAAGCTATCCAGCTAGCTTACGGAACGTCGGTGGTTCTACTCAGGTGCCCGTTCGTGCCTGAAATAATGCACGGAAGGGCACCTGAGGTCTTCCTCCACCAGTAAAGCTGGAACGTCGCGATATGACCTATACTGTGTCGATGTGACGTAAAACCCAAAACAAACAATAAATATATGAATTTTTGCCATCTCTCACTTTGCTCAAACTTTGTGTACACAAACTTGGCTGACAAAGCGAATCACCTTAAGGTGAGTCCATCCTCTCGCAAGGCTACAAAATGCATTCATACCATTATCACAAAGTAGTATGCTGTATCAATGATGCTAAATAAATGTAGCGTAATATACTAAAGTTTAATTATTTCAAAACAACCAATATATCAACATGTTATCATTAAACATTTAATTTCATAAATATAAATTAAAAATAATTATCAAAAGCAAAATTGTTAAAATTTTATGCCTGAAATCTTCTTTATATTGACAAATTCAATCTCTTATAGTATACTTGATATGATGTGTGTAAATGTATTTCAAAATGTAACAAATTATAATTGCATGTACTACTAAAAAGGGAAAAAACAAATGTATAACATTTAAAGCTATTTATAGCTTTCGAATTTATGTAAAAGCAGAACTGCTTTCCGGTTCTCATTCATTAATATGACATGCTGCGAATCATAGACGGGGAAACCAATATAGAAATCGAAAGGACTTCTTGAATGCGGATTTACTTTTAGCTGTTAATCGAAAGGATTTATTGCTCAAATCCGGGCGCCTGTGGGCGCGGAGCAATCATCAATGGTAATGCGTAAATACAGCAACAAATTACAATAATGAACTGAAAAGAACTCAAGCAATTTACGGATAATGTTTCCATTTGATTTTAACTTTTGTGTAACGATTTTCCAGAGACACCATCTTAATTTGATTGAAACGTCAAATAAAACGTAATCAGACAGCTCGTGTCAGGCATCGTGATATGTGCATTCATTTCTGTTGAGTTTCTGTAAGATTTCCTCCTAAGATTAATTGTGACGGATTGTTATATATTTAGGACGAAAATCGATTAATTCCTATTCCCATTCCTTATATTTTTCAAGCTACACCATATACACAAATTTCTTTAATTTATTTATAATGAACGGCAAATGAAGTACTCTCGAATGGTTCCATAATTTCATTGTGAACCCTAAATAGCTTAAACCAATACAATGTTTATTTTTCACTCTACGAGCAAGGCCATTAATGAAACTTGCATTATTACCTTTCCGAAGCATCGCCTTAGGGCTTGTCCGTGCTCTACCTTGTGCCCTGTCATGTTTTTGTTTGGGGGGTCCGTCTGGGCTCCTTTGCGCTGGTTCTTGTTGTTGGTTCATGTGGGGGTTGCGTTCATCGAACGCTGCCTTTCTTTGTTGATCTTGTTTATCATATTTTGTGTACATTTAATTACGATCTTTGCATTCAAAACGTCTGGTCCCCTTCCAAATTTCTATTTTATTTAGTTGTTTTCTCGTTTAGGGCACTTGCATCCTTATACATTAGGGTCGTTAGCCGCTTTTCATGGAATGACACAGACGTGTCGCAAACGGTTTCGTGATAAGCGCCGTGTGAACATATTTGAAGATGTTACTAAATTCAAAAATACCTTGCTTTCTATCATTTTAAAGGATGAGTTGGTGCTAAAATATGATAAACAAGATCATCAAGGAAAGGCGGCGTTCAATGAACGCAGCCCCCACCCGACCCAGTAACAACAGCCAGTGGCAAGGAGCCTAGGAGCTAGTTTTACTTAATGTGATTACATTATTAATATAATCATTAGTAGTATGTATTTATATGTAGAGTACTGATAGTGTAATTATAGCGAATCTTTAAGTGTCTGTCTCATTTGTTTCAATGTCATCACAAGCAAACGGCAACAAGGGTCAATTGTGATAAAAATTGTTCAACTCATAAACTGGATGAAGCTTTTTAAACCGAGTAAAAAAACTACAATAAACATTATCGCTTCAATAAATTATCTATTCTTTATACATAATGATGTGCCAAAGTAAAATACCTTATTTTAAAAAGTTTTTTTAATGTCAAATTTTAACACACATTTTTCTGATATAAAGCCATATAGAAATGTTATGTTGAAACAAGACACAATAATTTCGTTTCATTCCATTCTTAATAAATCAATACCTACATTTTACAAGGACTATTTGAAGAAAAAAAAAGAAAGTGGAGCTAAACATTCAAAATGAATATGAGTAGGTTTTACCTAACATTTAACAAATAAACTTTATGAATGTCATATATGAGCCGTGACATGACATTTCCAACATAGTGGTCAAATGACGTAATCGTAGAAACACGACGTCAAAGTTGACGCCAAAATTACCACGTTTTTTTTTTAAATTATATATCGCGCGTGTTTTCAATCAGCGCTGTACAGTTTTTAACAGTGCGCGCACCCGTTGTATCCATGGAGCGTTGTAAACAAAAAACAATGTATGAAGTGGGCGGGTCCGTTAAATCGTATAATTATTAAACATAATGGCAGAGGGCGGAGAAGAGTTGCAGGTATAACTTGTTCTTTGTTTTGCAAGAAACTACACGTAAGTTCAAGAATGAAAACAATTAAAGCAAATGTGTAACAATCAGATTTTTAATCTCGGAATGAGGTCTGTACTGTTCTGTAGGCAGACGTGTTTATAAAAACAACAAATGGGCATTGTAAAATATTTAAATTACCTTTTCCCCGATTTTCTTTTCTAAAGTATAAAGATGTACATATGACATGTTTCAATTATTAAATATCTGCATGGCTATGAAGATGCATTGTCTAATATTTTTAATCAAAGAGCCGCTACTGTCCCCTTACCATCATACTCTGTGACTGTGTACGATGATTTAAACTGTGTACGATGATTTAAACAGCAATTTGAAATTGTAAATTTATTATGATAATTGTTCTACAGTTTAATAAAAGTTACATTAAAAATAAAATCTTTATAAGAAGTTTAACTCAGTGGATAAACAAGTGTAAACACGGCTAGGTAGAATCAATGTCTATAAAAATGCAGCCGATAGATAAAACATAAGCTCTAGACGGATTGTCCCCCTTGTATCACTCACAGTAGAGCAACGTGAACGCCTAAATTCCATTTTGGCCGTAATAGTCTTAAATCAAAAGTACAACTTAATAATTAGAATTATTATTTTACGGTTTTCTTTATTTTATTTTCGTTTTAGGAGATCAACAATTTGTTCAATGATCATTTTGGTTTATCAAATACAAATGAGACACCATTACCTGACCATGATATTTGTATAACAGAGTCCGAAGACGGCGACACATCGATAGGAAATGAAATTCTGGTCGCACAATACCTTGACCAATGTTCTAACGATAAGGAAAATGAAAATCCATTTATTGAGTGGGATAGTTGTGTTCTTTTTAAACATTGTAACTGCGAAAATAAATGCATAGAAAAAGTTAGTTCTTCCGATATTAATGACCATATCTTATCTATTAGAGATATGTTAAAGGAAGAAAAAGAACAATTAATTATGACTATTTTAAACACAGTAAAAATATCAGACGCTGACACCAGGAGTGGCTCGAGAAAGCGCCCCACTTACTTGTATTGTTTTGAAGGAAAGAAAATATGCCGTCAGGCTTTCATGATATTATATGACATTACAGACTTTTCTCTGAGAGCTTTATGCGAACACGTACATGGTCATGGCGTATCTCCACGTAAACATGGCAATACTGGACGAAAGCCTATTCATGCTCTCGATTTTGACGATGTTATGAAAATAGTGACATTTTTACGGTCGTATGCTGACGAGAATGGCTTACCACAGCCAGCTGCTCCGAGAGGGCGTGGTGATCTCCCACCCATCTATCTACATTCATCATTGACAAAGAAAGCCATTCATTCTATTTATGTTGAGAGTTTACGATCTGAGAATGGAAAGTGTGTAAAAAGAACAACATTTTGTCAGATATGGAAAGCTTGTGTGCCGCATATTGTAATTGCTTCCCCACGTCACGATGTTTGTTCAAAATGTGAACAATATCGAAAGAAGATTGTCGATGCTGTGACAGAATCTGAGAAGATGGCCGCGACGTCATCTATGCAAACACATATTCAGCTAGCACAAGAAGAAAGAAATCTTTATCTGACATTGATTCGTCAAAGTAAGACAGCCTTAGAGACAGCCGCGTTGCTCGGCAATATACCTAGTACAATGCATTATACATTTGATTTCGCCCAGAACGTCACGCTTCCGCATCATGCTCGTCAGATGGGACCTCTTTACTTCTTGTCATTAAAAAAGGTTACAATTTATCTACCATTTCTTTGTTTCCCATCTCATTTTGTATTTACAATGCGTTATTTAGAATGCAGTATAACTAATCAATTATCTACCAATTTTCAACGCGCCTTTTTAAGTAATTAATGGTTGAATTTCAAACACGCATGAATAAATCTACGGACACCGACTGGCCAATGAAAAATTACCAAACATTTGAATAACATTATCATACTGCAACTGAAAAAAAAAACACTTTATAAAAATAAGTAACGGAAGTAGATTCTCGTCCAAAGACTTCATTAAAAAAAACGTTCTACACATTCTAAAACATGCACTCATGTGCAATTTATACCATAATGAAGTTATTTTAAATTTTGTGCCAGTATTTTAGATTTATTCATCAAAACTAAACACGCATAATGGGGTTTTTAATGACCGGGAAAAATACCCGATATGTTTTAAGAAATTAACATGCTTGTTTTATACATACATAATTCATTTGAGAACTTTGTAAGAAAAAAAATTAAAAGTTAGAAGATGAATATTTGTTTAGGTACAAGTATTTGGCTTCCGCACCGATGGAGATCCACGCCAATTAATCTATCTTTTTGATGAGAGCCAGTGCATCGGCGTAGACGGAAAGCTGTCACACGGTCCAAATGCTGTAATTAGTATGATGCACCATGCTTTCCAACGCGTTGGTAAACAGGAAGATTATTGTTCATTACATGCTGATAACTGCGCTGGTATTTGAAATTTTTTCAACCTTTTTCTAAAAGGAACTCTTTATTGAAATAAATAATCGAGACAAACTAAATAAGCTAATTGATAAATAGAAAATATGTTTTAATTGCAATTTATGAATTGATTCTTTTTTGTTTTGTTGGTTTACGATCGCGCCGACTCTGTTCCGAGTCCCTATGTAAATGTATAAATAAAATGTGAATGAATGAATGAATGAATAATTGAATGAATGAATGAAACCAGTAAAGTTCATAAAATAAATGAATAAATTAATTAAAATTATTGCCAAAATTCACACATTATGTCCGTAAATCATTCCTTTTATAGGACAAAACAAAAACAGATATGTGTTAGCCTATCTTTCATGGCGTGTAATGACAGGACTGCACAAGAGAATTGACCTACACATGCAGATTCCTGGTCACAGTAGATGTCTTGTAGACGCTGGATTTGCAAATTTTAAGAGATTATACAAGTGTGTTTGCTAATTCTAATAGCTTATTAGAAGGTCAATATAATTCATTACTATGATTGTTTAAAATAACGTTAAAAATATCCATATCTTTTTCATAATATCATCAGGGTTTATTAGATATATCTTATATACGGTTTTCTATATCTATGGCTACATACTGTTTATGGAACTGTCCATATATTTCGAGCGACACCTTGTATAGTTACGTCGGTATTAATCCTTTACTAGCTTTAAATTCGAGAACTTTTACTCTTTGTAGGCGATGTGATGCAGATTCCTTGCTTGATCTTGTAAATCAAGTAAACAAGTCTTCAACTGTTAACGAATCAGTGAGCTACCCAGAATGGACATGGTTTGACTGGAAGACATACTTTAATCAGTACTACAAAGCCCTACCGGGAATTTCATCATATCAACATTTCAGGTGTCAATGTTAATATATACTTTTTATACAGATTTTCTTTTATCATTCTTTACGAATAAATTTACGTTGCATTATGAAATTATCTTTATGAAATGGCAGTGGCTAGCCGCACGGGGCCGTATTGCTAGCCAAAAGTTCTAGCCATACCTTAGTCACGTACGACTAGCCTATACACACTGTTGAGGCTAGCCGTACGGCATTTTGAGAAAAAAAATGCAAACTTTCTTTCCTTGAGTATCATGAAAACTTTAACAATTAACGTAAATATATTATTTTTGGCGTTTGATGATCGGAAGTTTTCTCTAAAAATCACAGATTTTGATAAAGTCCGTGCGAAAGTACAGGGGAAATAAACTGAAACATTATTAAATCATGTCTATAGACGTAATACAGTTGTAATAAATTTTTATCTTTATCAATTTTAGCGGACATAGAAAATTTCTGTTCATGATACAGCCCAGTTCAGTGCGTATAGGCTAGACGTGCGCGACTGCTTAACTTTTGGCTAGCAGTTCGGGTCCGTACGGCTAGCCACTTTCTTATGAGATATATATTTTTACATAAGTGTTTTGTGGAAGTATAAATTAGTATTTCAATATATATTTTCAATCCATGGTTCCAGAATTGAGCACAATAGACCTGGCGAGGTAACTGTGAGGAAAACTCCCGATGGTGACGAAAGATCGTTCAAACTCTTACGATATTCGGACACTACGTTCACTGCAGAACAAATGCCACCTGTACTACAGCCAGGCGGCCTCTCATTTGAAAGACAGATGTACTTATACAGATCTGTACGTCCATACGTGCGACAAGTTTCGCAAGATGAAACGTGCCCGTTACCTACGAGAGAAGAGTAACTCTTCGCTGGAAATACAATAAAATTAATCTATGTACTGAAAATCTAAAAGTTGATAATATAGTATTTATAGTGGAAAAAAGACTGTGTAATTAAACACATATGGGAACGACGTTGTTAATTATTTGAATATTCAATTTTGCATGCATTGTCTTATTTGAAAATATTTTTCCAGGATTATTATGTTAAGCAAAATAATTTTCCGTTTAGTCAAACTGACGTACTTTTTAACGACGTCGTACTTTTAAACGACGTCGTCACTAACGTCAACTTAAACGCCGTCACCAACAACAGGTGTGTGATAAAAAAGTATTATAAAACAAGTTTTCATCGTCCAAAAATAATAAAATTTGTTTCAAATGATTCAGAAAAGATTGCTTTTTGAGAATATTTGAAAAAGTGAAAATGTCAAATTTGACCACTATGTTGGAAATGTCATGTCACGGCTCATATCTGAAATGATATTGAATATTTTTTTGAACATCATATATTTTAGATGAACTACTCCGACTAAGAGTTAGCAAATATAAAAGAAGACTTACACTCACTAAATAAGGATTACTAAGTGATACATTTGTCACATTAATGGGACCATGGAGGCGTTGTGTAAGGCAGTGCTAAATCATTTCACACAATTTCATATAAATATCATCTAAGAAGTTAAAACATAAACGAGAAAAAAATGTTTTCCTCTAAATTCTTTCAACAAAGAAAGCATATACAGTTAAACACCGACTTATCGGACAGGCAGTGAACGTTGAAATTGAGCAATGTATTCGGAGGAATGTTTTAATAAATAACTTATTTTCTTCTAAGTATTTATGTGCTTTTGTCTATTTCAAATCGTATGTGTAAAAAAGATAAGCTATCCATTAAAGGCGGCGTCCATTTTAACATACTCAAAGATTAATTATCAAGTAAATTGTCTTTGATAGCAACTTATTCACACTACATTTCTTTCTCGAAAATAAGATATTTTTCCTTCTTAAAAGATTTATCATGCTTTATTCGTTTAATGTTTCTGTCTTTTTAGTATAATTAATGACATTTTGTAATGTATTCCTATTTTAGCAAAAGTATAATAAATACATGTAAATAACATTACCATAGAAAATATATAATCCTAGTAGTCTACACTGTTTTATAAAGTATATTTTTTCTCTAGATTTTCTCGTTAAAACGAATTCGCATACACCATGTATTATAAAATTCATCAAAGATTTTGAAAATAAAATCTTTCCTTTTTATTCCAGATTCATGGTTTTAAATTTCGAAAATGAACTAATTGCAAATAAGTATAAGAAACATTACGACCAGATACATGTTTAAAATGTCAATTTTATTCATAAATAATAACTACTCACTTCTTTCAGAATAAAACAATGCATGAACTAGAAGTCAGATCCGACACAATTTAACTTGAATGTTAACTGTTTGAAAACTTGACCTTTACAAAGTTTCTAATTATCAAGATCGTTTCCTGTATTGACAAAACTGCATTTCCAATGTCATTAAGCATTTCATGTCGTCTATAATCAAGTAATCATAAAGGTTTTTAAAACAATATTGATCGACACAAAAGGGAGATGCAAATTAGCAATTTGTATTCCTTTAGAATCATACCGAGTATTAATTTTTATTTTAAATTCAAAAATATTTCAAACTAACAATTCTAACAAAAACGCACACTTCAGTTCATATAATAAAATTGGTTTCAACAAATATAACGTACGAAAAGCCAAAGAAACAGAAAAATAAGCAAGCTTCTCATCACTGTTCTTGTTGAGTAAGAATGAATGATTTATCAAGAACTTAATTTTACTAATTACCATGAATTTAATATTAAAAAGCTTTACAATATCTGTAGAACATTTTTGCCTTTGCCATTAACTTAAATTGTTGACCTTGTTAAAGTTTTCAAGGAACGTATATCCTAAATGAAACAGTATAAGAATCATGCTTAGTAACATGACAAATGTGATAAAAGCTAGAATTTTTAATATGTAAAATAGATTCCGTTAATAGTGAATAATTGGCGAGGCTATAATTCATAGAAAAGAATGTTGATATAAGGAACATGTAAATGTATAAACGGATTACAAGTTTGTTTGACTTAAATCAATTTTAATACATATCTTCTTTTACAAACCGTATCTGTTTCAAATGTATTTAACTCACGGGCAGTGCAAATCATTTCTTGCTGGTATTCATTGACAAATAAGCTTATTTAGTTTTCTCAATCTCCATTATCATTCAACGTTCAAATTGGCAATTAGAATTGAATAAATGTCCGAAACAAACTGTCTAATTACAGCACAGTGTAAATAGTGTTCGTCTAGACGAATAATCTATATTAATGATGTGTTACTACTAATTAAGAATATAACAAATGTAAAGGATAGATGGTACAGATTTAACATATAAATAGATATCATGGAAATTACAAAACAAGTGTGAAGTTTGCACTACAGTACCGTCCATGAACAGGCTCATTCAAACCTTTCAATTTTGCCGTTTTGGGCACTTTTGACACTTTTGTGTCCCTTGTTGTTATCTTGTCTACGGTAAGTATCTTTCCCTTGCCCCAAGTTTTTATTTCTTTTATTTACCCCCCCCCCCTTTCTACGGGTCTCCTGTCCCCTTCCCCTGTACTCTTTGACTTTATGGGCCTATTAATCAATCATTGATTTGTTTTCTTTGAGTTCCTTATCAGTTACTAATTATTTCTTCTTATGTATGTGTTTAGTGATTAACCTGTCCATGCTCTTCCTTGTGCCCTGTCCTGTTTTTGTTTGTGGTCCTCCTTGGCTCATTGCCACTGGCTCTTGTTGCTTGATCGTATTGGGGCTTCGTTCATTAAACGCCGCCTTTCCATGTGATCTTGTTTATCATATTTTCTTTAGGGATTTTTATTTTCACTTTTTCATCTAGACGAAAACAACAAGTGTCACTAGAACATTTTGATTTCTTAAAAGTATACAGTGTATACTGCCTTACATTGACTATCAGTACCCTATGTGTGTGTTCCATCGATTCTTCCAAAGGATTTCAGACTTATTATAGGATTTCAGTCTAATTATGATTGATTTTCTGTACAAATAGATTTAGTAAATGCACAAATTGATATTAATTTAGTCGTTTGTATAAACTAACAAGATCAAGTCGTACATTTGCACTCGCAACAAGGATTTACAGTCAATATCTCTGTCTGCAGCTCGTTATGTTGGCAAACAATATAAATTGTGATATTGCTGCAACAAGTTGTATTTGTGAGTCAATATCTCATTCATAGTTACCTTTATACGCCTCTGCAAAATGACTGCTCATTTTATTAAACTGATGTGTTGCACATTGTATTACAATGTTTCTAAATCAGGTATTATAATAACGTTTTACACCATGTTTGTGATAAATTGATGTCAAGACATTAAGGGACTATGTCATAAAGAGTACTGTCTGCCATAGTGAAAAAGTTATAATACGTTTTCAAAACTACGCTATTTATAGAGTTATAATAAGATTTCAACCATCTACTTCATCATGATATAAAATGCTCATTGTCTTGAATGCAAAATCTTTTCCATAGCTTCTCTATTCCATTTCATTAACGACCTACCTTTCTTCTCTATAAATTCTCATTTGTCATGGCGTAGGTGCATTAAATCCTAATAAGAGCACACTCAATGTCTTGGGTAATCGAATATTCACTTTTTAACTAATTATACCTTCTCTTAATGAACACTGATTGACAGGTAATTATCTAACGTATTCGTCTTTATTAAAACTACCTTTGATAAATAGTTCTTTCACGATTTTATTGATTTCGTTTTAGAGTTTTAGTATGTATTGTTGAATTTAAAAAGCACGCTTCTTTTCTCAAGTTAAGCCGCTGCTAGGGGACGTGAACGGTAACTTGCACTTTCCATTACCGTCCATGAACAGGCCCAGTGTTGGGCTTTCTTTAGGAATTCTGACATTCTCTATTTTATTTATCGCACTCAAATTTGAAAATAATTTGTGTACGAAGTGAACTTCATGACGATTGAATATCATTGCAAAATTGTCAATTTTCTATTATGATAGGAACCCTGCGTGCACTATTTCTTTCAGCTTTGGCAATTTGATCAACTTCAACAAAGTTGTAAAACAATAAAATATATTTATAGATCTTGATATTTAAATGTTACAGGCCATCAAATAAATTCTGATACTATCAAAGATACACTAGGTACTTAAAATATTCAATAAAACCCAAAAGCGGGTTCTTGAAAAATAAAACATAAATCTGAAACTTGTGCTATGACCTAAGTAGAGATGCACTTGAGTACCGCTTTAGCCGGTGCTAGGCGGCGTGAAGGGATGTTGCCTTTACTGTATCATTATCCCTAAATACAAACTCAATCAAATCGAGTCTAAAAATGACATTTTTATTTTGTTAAGAGCAATGCTTCCGAGGGATCACCATTTTTACAGATTGTTATAATCTACTTGTGTTTCATTGTGTGGTATTATTCTATTAATCACTGTCCATTTAGATTCATGTTTGTAATTGATACTCATACATTAACAGGAAAACATGTCTTGAGCTTTATTTTGTCTGATGAATTATTTCCTTCTATTATGTTGTATTATTTTACCAAGTGCACTCTACTGATATGAAACGAAATAACATGCATAAAACAGCCGTGAGCAATATGAAAATGTTTATTCATGTACGCACTACTTCACTGTAAAATTATTGCAAGGCTTAAATTTTCATGACAGCCTCTAAGAGTTGAAGATTTAAATGTTGAACATTTTTTGTTCAATTATTTGTTATGTGACGTACGCAAGAACGTTTGTTAGTCTTCATGTATTATGACAAATTTATGTATATTGTAAGCAACTACTGGGAAAAGCTGACTTATTTCATGCCTTTTTTGCCGATTTGTTCAGATCACTTGTTTCACATCACTTGCCACTGACTGTTTTCGGTTCGAAATGCGACATGGAGTTTTGATTCTTTCATGGGAGGAAGCTCTTTAGCTAACTTATGGATTCAAGGTTACTCTTCTAAAAAGAAATAAAACAAAAACCAAAAAGGTAAGGGCAACGTTCACAGAACACAGCACCTGCTTCTATTATTAAATATAAACCGACAATGTTGGCCTAGATGCCCGCTTTCGGATTCGGAAGTCGGAGGTTTGAGCCCCACGGGAAGCGTTAATTGAAGGATGAACATTTTTCAGAAAATAAATCTACTAGAAAAATTTAACAGAACGGAATTGAAAATACAAATTCCACGACTAATTAACCTTGCCAATAAGTTCAAAATGATGATTTTAAATTGTGCAAACTTAATTGATTATATTGTACATGTTAGGTAAAACATATGAAAAGAAAAAAAAGTCAGATTTAACTTAAATTAACTTGAAAATATGCGTCTAAATAATGATATATATAGCAAC